AAGCAGAGTCAGTCGAAAAGCAAGACAATGGAGAAGACAAAGAAGTCGGGCTAACCACGTCGCAACAATCCAGATTCTCCAAGCTCAAGCATTCATTCTTCCCTTCATCGAACATGAAGTCAATGTTATCCTCAAATCCTAACTCGTTGAAAAGCTCGGAAAACTCAAGGGGTCTCTCGTTGGAGAGGTTTTGATCCGTCAAAAACGGAGCAAACCCTGAATCCATCATACAGAAGTTCCAAGCCAGCTCATTACTGTCCGAAGAACGATGATCCATTTCCATAATGGCTGAAGAATCAATGCAGCAAGAAGCGACCACCGCCTCTTCTTCTTTGTGTCCAAACTCTGTTTTCTCTTCTTCTTTTTCTTCTTCTTCCACGTACTGCTTCACTTCTTCTCGAGGCTCTTCTTTCGCTTCCCTCGTTTCAACTTCTTGTTTTGCTTCAGCAAGAACAGCCTCTTGATGATCAGCTTGGCTCACAGGGAACGGGAAAACACCTTTCTTCTTTAACCGGTCGATGTAATTACTAATGTCGAAATTGGTCACCGCGTTCGCACCTCTATACTCTATCGCCGCCATGTCATACGCCGCTGCAGCTTCCTCCTGCGTATCTACAACCAACACAATTCCATTAAAGCAAAATCAGTGGTTTTGAAGTTAACAGATTCACAAATATGATGCTAAAGTAGTAACCATTAACCAAATAAGACCAAACATGTGTTAAAAGAAGTGTTATTGTTTTGTCGTTTCTTTCTAAAAATTTTAAGGAATTTATGATACCTAATAAAGACAAAAAAAAAAAATCGAGGAGAGAATTTAGTGACGTGTTTCGTAGGGACAACTAGGGTTACACTATTTGTGTGATTTTGCGTTATAGAGGTGAAGCGTGTACGAGACCATTTCTTCTCCACTTCGCCGCTCTTAAAAAAGAGTAACAAAAAAAAATATTAGCTTACTTAATTGTCTATAGAATAATAATACACGAACGTACGATTACTAATTACTACATAACAATAAGTTCACCTACCACCAAGTAGTGTCAACAACATTAAGCTCTAATAACTATCACTATTAACATTAAGGAGCTCAATAATAATCTATAGAACAAAAAAA